ATAGATTATTTGCTTAGATTTTATTAACACGTTAAGCGCCTTAACAGTCACTGTTGACTATGTACAATTTAAAATATTATATCCTTCTATTAATAAATTTTAAGTAATTTAGAGATCACAAAAGAAGAAGAATTTTAGCAATGCAGAATTGCTTTTTAATAAAATCAACACATTACATGAAAGCACGTGAGACGGTTTGATTTATATAGAAAGCTTTCACTCGATTTTCTAACAGAAGATTTATTACTTCGAGCTGGCTTGTCGTTGAATTTCCTCAGCCAGGGACGCGTGAATTTTCGTGAGAAACCCGCGTCCGAGTCATACAAAGAGGCACCTGGCGAAAAGTCGAGATTCGCCGTCGAACGCGGATTTGTAAACCTCTTGGAAGACACGTGTAATCCGAAAGATAATCTGGCATAGTAGCGGCCGAGCCACTCTCGTCCACAGCCCGATTGTCGCCCTCGCGCATCCTTTAACGCGTCCTCGGCCTAGCAGATGGCTATCTTTTCTTGTTGAATTATCATCTCCCACAATGTAACAGACTGAAAGGATGAAACGTTCAACTTCAACTGGGCATACGCGTTTATATCTAGGAAGATAATTAGCGCGAGTGCTGGCGGGCACGCGGCGGGAACTGACAAAGAACAAATTCGCAATGGTTGTTCCGAAACCAGGTATAACCAGCCCCGAGACATCGAGATCAAAGCGCGTTGCTAAACAGTCGTTCGCGTGGAAAGGGAAATCCGAGTGTGGATCGCCAGTCTCGTTGTACATCGTTAAATCGTCCCCTAGTTTAAGACCTGAGCGAAAAGTCAAATATAAAGGCTGATTTAATATCGTTCAAAGTAGCGTAATATTCTCGGCTTCCTTAATAAGCCAGTAAAAGGTGAATTATTATAAGAGTGCATCTTGTCAAGTAGCTTAAATATAAAAGCGAAGTAAAAGATTAGTCAATTATTTTACGTGACTTCCGTTACGACCAGAGAAATCTTGATTTTTATAATTTACGAAGAATCGTCGACGTTCGTAGGCATGAAAGACGTCGATGGGCTTCGTAATAAATTTCACGGATCTAATTTAAACGGAGGGCCTGGAGGAGCGACAGATGTGCCTCTCGACGATTCGGGACCGCAAGAGTCACGATAAACTCTCATAATTCACTTAGGCGGTATCCCGGGCCCCTTGGCATTATAAAGCCGTCGGGGTAAATTCTCTATTGAATGCGAATGCCCGTTTCGTAACATTTGTATACGCGCGTACATACGATTATTCATACCTTCCCGGCATTGTACGTACTCAACGCCGGATCCATTGTCCCTCGCAATATTCGTCGGGACAGCAGATGGAAATTCTGATACACTCGACTAACGAATTCCATGGGCGTGAAATATTCTTCGAATAAACAAGGGAACGTGAATTCGGGAACACGAGTAATAATGACGGATTTTTATTAGATTTACAAGCATATCAGTTTAAAAAAGACTTAATTTGATGCATTTTATTGCATTTCTCATATTTTCTGTTTAACTTAATATTACAAATGTGTACTGCGAATTTCATACATTTATAAAAAAAATTCTGTTTTGCGAAATACATTTAATTTTGTAAATTGATGAAGTTTTATTTTGCACAGACTGATTATGTACAGTGTCGATGAGGGGGATGATGGGAAGATGCTCGATTTCCGGGCAGGATGGAACCAATCAGGGTATCGCGAAACGATAACCGTGCGTGGGAGCGTAATGATCTTGGCGGTGTGATCCGTATTGTCGTCGGTCGCCTAATTGCGAACTGTTTCACCGTGCTACGTGCAATCTGGCTTCTGCTCGGTGACGGTGGTGAATGGTGCATGGCGGTCGGCACAATAGATTCGGTTTGATGCATCGCCGTAGCGCAGCGGAGACCGTTAATTTGGTGCGCCCTCCTGGCCCACAGCGCGCCGATTGCCTCTGCCCGCCCTCGCCAAACATCGATCGCGTTAATAACTCGTCCAAGTAAATAATAGCGTTTACCGAAGCTACGTGCCTACAGTTTGTCACCCGTTCGGGTGCTGGGACTATCGAGCCTTTCGGGCTGCTCTCGTTAATACACGCTTGTCTTATTATTGATACACTCGATCACGTCCGTTTCTCGCTCTCTGAATTCTAAACGCCCTTACGTATGGACTTCGAAATGTGCTACCTTTATAAACGTGTATGAGTCGATATTCAGAATATTTTTAAGGAAAATAAGAAAAGGGTGACAAACATTAAATACTAACAATAAATGGTACAAATGTAAATTTAAAAGTAAAGCACATTAATTTGAGGAATAGGGAATAAAGAGAAATGAATGAAAAAATGTTATCTGGAAGTAACGAAATAGGGAAGAATAGAAGTAATTAGGTGCGAAACATTCTGCTCGGACAAAACAAGCCTAAATTATTGCAAAATCGATTGACAATAATGATCAGCCTATATACCACATAGTCTTATTTCATCTCGTTCAGATTGTTGGGAACTTAATATTCAGACTATGCTGACTTATGCCACTGATTATAATTGACTTATACTACTAATATTAAATTCTTCTTCGTGAATAAAGTGAATGAAACGATGAAAGATCTACACGAATAGGATAGCTTATTTATGTTGCAGCTTCCGTTTGTATAAACATCCTTATTTCTTATTCAATGAATCCAAGAGACACGTCTCGGCCGGTGTCGTCGAATCACGACCACTTCTCAGAAACGTTTTCACGCTGTGCTCACGATCTTGTTCACTGTATCTGTTCCAGAAACAATGCGAACGTCGACGCCCCGGCCGCGGTGCCCGCGCTGAAGAAAGAGCCGCACGAGAACATCGCCCGGATAGCCAAGCGGTACCTCGACGATAACATGCAGCAGGCGTGGATCAATCCTCGTCTAATATCGATGGTGAGTGAATATAAATACAATCATTACACGCCTCGTTTAACGATGCTAGCTCTCACACGCTCCATTAACTCGGACAATTTTCGACTCGTCTGCCTCTTTCTAAACAATCTCAAGTCGAACATTGCTTCACTGAATAATAAATAAATTAATTTACAAAATTATTGTTAAGGACATAGTTTGAATTTTGTGTATAAATTTGCATATTATTTTCATTTTTTAATTAATCGAGTCACAAGTTCTATTTCTTTTATTAAGCTAGTCATCTAAATAGCATCTCGCATTAAAATATAATTGAAGCGTAACTAGTGGTAGACGTTTGGAATAAAACTCGTTTGGTTAATCGAACAAACGACGCGGCTGATTAAACTTGGCCGACTAGATACTATGTAGCCAAGTCGTTGGATCGAACAGGTCTCCGGGATTAAGATGTTGGCTCGGAAGATGGTTAATCGCTTGCATGCTCCTTGTAACGCGTTCCTCGTGCCTGAATTGGCTCGCAACTCGATCCCCAGGGTGGACGCGTCGAGATCGATACGTGTGTAGATATTCCCCGTGCCTCGAGCGCGGAAAATTTGATGGAAAATTTATTTTCCGGCTGCAACCCTTTACACTCGCGTTTTCGTGCCCGGACCGGTTATTGAAATTCCGCCTTGCCCGTTCCACCAGCCACACGATATACATACATACATATTCGGACGCTGCATTCTCATCCATAAGTCTGGAAACACTTGCAGAAATAAAGTCGGCATCAAGAGAACACGTTTAGACTAGCAATCTAATTTTAAGGTAGATGAAAACTGGTATCATTTCTTTTAGAAAAATTGTTTATTAACAGATTGTAGATTTTTATGCAAGACGATTCAGTCATAATGTCAATTTGAAAAATATGTTGTGCAATTTTTCATAAATACATAAAATGCCTGTTTAATAAAACGCAAAATGAAAGAAAAGTTTGCATTGTAGTTACGAAACACTTAATTATTTACATTTCGTGGAACATTAAAATAGTAAAAAAATGTAGTCGATGAGACTGTTCGGCGAACTCGGTGAGGCGTGGACAGGTTAGATACGAGTCGTTAAGCGAGCCAATAACAAACTCGTGATCCACATAACCCTTCGTTACATCCCCGTTATTAGCCGATCCGATGCGAGGGCAGCAATCATCCGTGGCAGGTACCTAAGTCGGGTTTCGTAACCCGACGCGAACTCGTCCGTTCAGTTTCTTTTTTATCCTCCCCAGTTTCTCCTCTTTTCGTTCTCAGCCGCGACCTTACGTAACATCCCTGAGTTCTGGCCGAGTCGATAATTCGACCTGTCGGCCCTCGCACACCTGCGTGCACCGCACAATGCCGAGGCTGCCGTCGGTTTAGATATTCCTCCCTGCGCGCTCTCTCTCTCTCTCTCTCTCTCTCTCTCAATTTGCATATTATTTTCATTTTTTAATTAATCGAGTCACAAGTTCTATTTCTTTTATTAAGCTAGTCATCTAAATAGCATCTCGCATTAAAATATAATTGAAGCGTAACTAGTGGTAGACGTTTGGAATAAAACTCGTTTGGTTAATCGAACAAACGACGCGGCTGATTAAACTTGGCCGACTAGATACTATGTAGCCAAGTCGTTGGATCGAACAGGTCTCCGGGATTAAGATGTTGGCTCGGAAGATGGTTAATCGCTTGCATGCTCCTTGTAACGCGTTCCTCGTGCCTGAATTGGCTCGCAACTCGATCCCCAGGGTGGACGCGTCGAGATCGATACGTGTGTAGATATTCCCCGTGCCTCGAGCGCGGAAAATTTGATGGAAAATTTATTTTCCGGCTGCAACCCTTTACACTCGCGTTTTCGTGCCCGGACCGGTTATTGAAATTCCGCCTTGCCCGTTCCACCAGCCACACGATATACATACATACATATTCGGACGCTGCATTCTCATCCATAAGTCTGGAAACACTTGCAGAAATAAAGTCGGCATCAAGAGAACACGTTTAGACTAGCAATCTAATTTTAAGGTAGATGAAAACTGGTATCATTTCTTTTAGAAAAATTGTTTATTAACAGATTGTAGATTTTTATGCAAGACGATTCAGTCATAATGTCAATTTGAAAAATATGTTGTGCAATTTTTCATAAATACATAAAATGCCTGTTTAATAAAACGCAAAATGAAAGAAAAGTTTGCATTGTAGTTACGAAACACTTAATTATTTACATTTCGTGGAACATTAAAATAGTAAAAAAATGTAGTCGATGAGACTGTTCGGCGAACTCGGTGAGGCGTGGACAGGTTAGATACGAGTCGTTAAGCGAGCCAATAACAAACTCGTGATCCACATAACCCTTCGTTACATCCCCGTTATTAGCCGATCCGATGCGAGGGCAGCAATCATCCGTGGCAGGTACCTAAGTCGGGTTTCGTAACCCGACGCGAACTCGTCCGTTCAGTTTCTTTTTTATCCTCCCCAGTTTCTCCTCTTTTCGTTCTCAGCCGCGACCTTACGTAACATCCCTGAGTTCTGGCCGAGTCGATAATTCGACCTGTCGGCCCTCGCACACCTGCGTGCACCGCACAATGCCGAGGCTGCCGTCGGTTTAGATATTCCTCCCTGCGCGCTCTCTCTCTCTCTCTCTCTCTCTCTCTCTCTCTCTCTCAGCTCGTTTCCATTCTCGAGATCCGGGTGATAAAGATTCTGTATGCAGTAGTAGAGAATATCCGGTATGGAAAGCCGTGAAACGATTCTCCAGTACAGTTTAGTGTAATAAGGAATTGGCGATGCCTCGGTCATTCATTCGCGGACAGTGTGTCACCGCGAAAGTTGCCAGTCACGGGAAACGAGATGTCCGCCGCGGCGACAAGCGACGAGTCACGTCGCGAAATAATGAACATTACCGTCGCGTTAGCTGGTATACGTGCCGCGTGTACACCGTCTATTTGTCAAGCCCCGTTGAAAGCGCAGTTTCGCGATGATACGAGTTTACGCACTCGCGTGACCGTACGATTTACGGTCGTCCCCGGCTGCGTTATTAGCATGACGGCCTTCGAGGCTTTACAGATTACCCTGCGAAACCGGATCACGACCGGGATTCGTAAAGGATATCGGGGACTCGTGGCGAGGCAAGACGGTAGTCGGCTTCCGTCAGTACTCGAACGATGCCATTTGTAATTCGCTACCGAGGGTGCCTCGTTACGACCGGTTCTCCCGCCGGCTTTCATTCCCTGATCGATACCAGTCGCGTCCAAAGAGATCTTTCAATGATTTTTCTCGTTCTTACGCGCTCGTTCGGAACGATACGTTTACAAATTGCGTTAATAAACGGAACTGGGGCGTAAACGGGGAATGAATTATGTATCGAGTCTGAACGGCGGTAACGTCAGAAGCGAAAGTTAATTAAGAGACGGACTAAACTGGATTCATTCGCAGTCTCGTCAGCCATTTAATAATCCCGAAAATTCGCACGATTAGGAAGAAAGTGTAGAGGCACGCACACGCTCGAGTGTACATATATAGACTCTGTACGGGGCACGTAGATATACACAGAGGAGCCATCCCGTCTATCCCTGTGCGATTCCCCGAGTGCCCTGCACTCAGTTCCTCTAATAACAATAATAATAAGAAGGGATGGAGGCCCGTTTTAATCAGAGGGTCTGCCTGCCTGACGTGATTAACTCGAAGAGCCCAGGGAAGACGAGCAGAGGCAGAGAGGGTGGGTCTCGGGCGGCGAAGGTGGAATGACGCGGATGGCTGCTGTCATTTTCGGTGTTTATCATATCAGCGAGCCGGGAGGGTTTTCGTTTCGTCGCTTCTCGCCGTGGAATGGGGTTAAATCTTGGATTTCACGGCCGATTTGTACGAACCTTCTTTTTTTCTCCTCGTTGCGCGCCGACCAACGTCTTCACCCTTCACCATTACTCAACCGTTCGAGCGTGAAAAATGCCCGGAAAATCCCATGCCCTTTTATTTTCGGTCTGCCCGTTTTCCGGCAGAGAGTACGCGACGCTAATGTACAACCGTGAAAGGAGGGTAATTAAGTACTCGTACTTACACGTGCTCTGCCCTCTCCACGAATATTCCTCCGCAGTCGAACCAGAGGAATCGGATCGTGAGGATAATAAGCCCCGGTCGCCGCGGTATTGTTGGCGATTTTTACAGTAGACAATTTAAACAGGAAGACCCAAAGATGAATGCTATTATGTGTGCCATTGAAAACGAAGCGCGCGGAGGTAGGAAGTTCTCCTCGAAGAAGGATTTTACTCCGGGAGAGACGTCGCTCTTCTTCCCCGGAATTAAAGTCACGTCTATGGGGCTCCCGACATTGAGAATGTCTCCTCCGCTATTTCTCCTCCTCCTCCTCCTCCTCCTCCCCCGCCACTTTCGTTGCCTTACGTCTCGCGCTTTACTTTGCCCGTCTAATTAACAAGGTTTTCCTGAGGGTTTTCAAAGCGTCTTGCTACCGACGAGGCAGTAAATACACCGTCGCCCGGCGATCGACTCTTCTCTCCCTCCTTATCGGGGCGTCCGCCACCTCCCCCCCGTTTCATAAATGTCTCATCCACGTGGCGTTCGGCGAATTTTTCGATAGAACACCTTTCGGATATTTCTCGGTGCCACCGCAGCCCGGGCTTCGATGGCGCGGAACAAACTGGTTTCTTTCCGAGTCGAAAGAATCCGCCGAGTCACCCCGCGTATGGAAATTACTATGTGCCAGGGTGCGATGACTTCTTAAGTAGGATCGTGCCGCTATTTTCACGGGCTATCGGCTCCGTGACTACCACAAAAGAGCCGCGAACATTTCTCCAGTTTAACTCCTAACATTTACCCATGCATTCTCTTTTTTATACTTTGAATTTGTTCATTTGAAAGCTGCGCGATTAATGATTTCTTGTGAGACGGAGATGTCTCGTGTATCGATCGCCAGTTGAACGTCGCGAAACGGCGTAAGGCGCGAGTAAACGAAACGCGTTGGGGCAGAGATAAAGGATAGGAGGCCCGGTTTAATATTCC